GGGCGCGGGCGCGCCGGCCGCCCCGCGGCCGCCGTCTCTTCAGAAAATAAAAATCGCATTTCTCCATAAGTCATCTGAACGCAGGAACCAAACAGTGCCGCGGCGTTTTTAAAACGCCGCCCGCACTTATAAACTGCCCCAAACACACCCTTAATAAGGTTATAGTAGTTTTAAGTTTTCTATGTTGACCTTGTGAGGCAGCACTGTACTTATTTAAATAATTCATTTAAATACCAAATAATTCTTATGTATTTAAATGACCAACACAAAATATTTATTTTTTAATTTACAATGCTCACTAAATTATTTTACATTTAATAAAATATTATATTTTCAAATATGATATAAAACTTTAATATATAATTATTACAATTATATTATTTTATTTATTACTAAATTAATTCAAGTCAAATCAAGCTTAACATTAACGAACAAGCATTTGATTGTGTTTGGCTCGTTTATAAATCGAGTTCAAGAAAGTTATTTGTGTTTGACTTGTTTGCTTACAAACGAATTGATAACAAGCTTTTAGCGAGTCGAACAGGAGTTGTTCATAAATAACAAGTTTTTTTTTCAACCCTGCTCTCTAGGTTTTTTGATAGAATTGTCTGGATTATTTCCTTATTTAAAGAGAAAGCCTCTCCCATATTCTATAAATAAAGTCTTGCCCTCTTCATGAAAAGAAACCTAAAAGAGAGATTTGAAGCTAGAACTAAATAGAGAAAATAAGGAGTTGAATTTAAGTGTTGTTCTGAACCAAAGAACTGACGAACATTTCCTTCTTTGATGAACACCGACCACCACTTGTCTGTCGTCGTTGACCAATGAACGACGACTTTATATATGCTTAAAATATAAGATAAATATGGACGTAATAAATATTTAATAATTGTAAAGTCACACTTATCAACATAAGTATACGTATCTCTCAAGTAATATAGGACTCTAATGGAGTCCTAGATATCGATACCACAGGGAGTAGTTTAGAATTACAGACTAAGATTTTAGAAAAGCAATACTTTAATCACAACAACGAAGTTTAATTTGCTTATCTGTCATTAATAGACAATTGAAATAAATAGATAATTTTAATAATTAATAAATAACTAATGATATTAAGGAGGGTTTAATTGTGATATTCAATATATAAGAAAGCATTCATCCTCTTGTCAAGAAATTATAGTGAGTGGATAAAATGAGTTAATTCAATTTATATTGTGTCAAATAGAAGCATACATATTCTTTACCCTTTGGTCCAGGCATAAAGAACATTGACTAATCATACGTTTGTTTATTGAATCTGCGGCTAGGCTGGGAGGATACCGGCTCTCACTTCGGAGCTCCCACGTTCCCCTCACCTAAGGGCTAACATCTACACTTCAGCATCAGTTCAAATTATATTGTGCCAAATAGGAGCATTCCTATTCTTTACCCTTTGGTTCAGACATAAAGAATATCGACTAATCCTACGCTTGTTTACTGAATCTGCGGCTAGGTTGGGAGAATACCGGCTCTCACTTCGGAGCTCCCACGTTCCCCTCACCTGAGGGCTAACATCTGCACTTCAGCACCCAAACGATAGGACCAAATTGGGGATTTTAGTCTATCAATCTAAAATCTCCAATCCTACGCCCGATAATATTATTTCCTTATTTATTTGCACCCAACCTCCAAGTGTTTTGACCTCCCTGAATCTTGGATGTAATCTTCACTTTAGTTGTAAAACTCAACATATTTTAACAAATTAATTGGTCAGATTGAAAGTAAATTAAGATCGAAGTGAAAATATCGAAGTGAAATATCATCACAATTTCTTAAACATTTTCTTGGCTTCACCAATTCAAATTACCATTTCACAAATCTCGAGACAAGGAGAAAGACAGAGAAAACTACTCAGAACTCATGGGTAAAACACAACAAAACTCGGAATTCATATATAAAAGCAAAGTCATACAAACTACAACAAGTAAATAACATTTATCTCTAATTTAGCAAGGAGAAATAAATCTCTCACTTTCCCTCCACTTTTACAATCTCTCGAAGAATTCCTCACAATTGTTACACTCTATTGAAAATTCTATACACTAATGGTAACCTCCAAGGCCTCTAGATTCT